GCGAGATCCGCCGAGCGGAAGCCGTATTCCAAATGAGCATCAAGGACCGACAGTTGATGCGTGCGCATGAGAGCCACCCTACGGACAGCCTCCAGCTGCTGCTTCTGTGCCTCGTTGAGGTGACTGATAATGACACCACTTCCCCCGGAAGTCAAGATTTCAGGAAACGGACACGGCGTTCGCAAGATTCGGACAGGGTTCACGTCGCGTCGCTGGGGCACCTCGCCCTCTTCGTCTTCCTATCCTAAAAAAAGAGTATTTGACTAGTAGTCAACTTCTTCGAAATCCTCGGCGAGATAATCCATCACCCGTGGTGGGCGCGGTGCGCGGTCGGAAGAAGATCTGTATCCTTGGTCGTCCGACCCTGTCGATGACAATGCGCTGCGCGGTACTCGATTACCGAGAGCTTGGGCTGCGCTACCCGTAAGGCCATGGACGTACTGGCCGGAGCTGCACCGCATGCAGGAGACGAAGAAGGACTCTCCCTGTCGGCGTTCTCGGAGCCAGCGAGGCTACGTGTCTACCGTGTCCTCGACAGAAGGCTTACTGAGCAGAGGATAGTGAAGAAAGTCCTGGTTCGTGGTGTCTAATACACGCGAGCCTCGTTCGTGGCGACAGTTGAACATAACCTGTAGGTGCTCACAATCTTGATGGGGGAGAGTGTTACGGCGTTTTAGGTGCCCTGGTATGAAGGGTCTGGGTCACACAAGATGGTGTGATCACACAATGGTGTGGTTTACAATAGATAGTGTGGCCACACAATGGTGTTGCTACACTTAAACAAGATGTCAGTTCGCGGCTGGAACAGTAAACTATGTAGAAAGGAAAACCTATAGAATTAGATATAAAGTTGCAAGAATTCTTGAGCATCAGACAATCCACACGAAATAAGGAGAGACTGATGAAAGGTACTTAGTCCTGCTTTTGAGCAAAAGTCGACGTTGCGCACGATTCACCACAAATAAAACGAGAAATCCAGTTTACGTTTAAAACGGAAGAGTTAATTAGCCTTGGGTTAAGGTTATACTTACTGTTGGAGTAAGTGGATTGCTATCCGCTATACTCGAACTGGCCCTAAGCATAGGTGAAGGTCACCGACCTTCACCAAGCTTCTCTAAGCCAAAGTGCTTCGGCAGCCAGCTGCAAAATTCGTTTGCGGCGGTCCATCCACAGCCGAAGGATAGACGAAACGGATCAGCGAGTGGTGGAGACTTGTAATTTGACGCATATGTGCCGAGCGATGTATCAGATAAAATCCTACTTGCTTCCCGAAAGGTGCTTAAATAGGACAACACAGGTTGCGTAGCATTGGTTGGTATGCGACGTGACCATTGTAAAGTAAGACAGCACAGAATTTAGGCGGCGCAAAATACCCCGCTGTCACCACATGAAGCCCACTAGGCCTGTACATCACCATCGGCAAAAAGTGACCTATAATTCTTCAACGACACATGATACGACGACATCACCATGGGATGGCGTATAATCCATATCAAAATTGAATGGTTTTGAGTAGAGCAGATCTATCCTGAACCTAAAAGCTATATATCGTGAACTGGGCAAAAGTATCCGCGGACTAAACCTTGTGTGTTTCGCGTTCAATTTCACCGTTTTCATTTGTGGATATTCTACGGCATATGAAATGTCAAAAGAAAACCTGAAATGACCCGTCAAAAGGCCAGCATTGGTACGCGCATGAGACGTTTCTAAAATATCTCTACCCTCTTCTGTTAGCGTCAAGCTACATTTGTCTAATAAACTCCAGCTCAGCTAGCGTGTGTTCAATACGGATGTTTACAATCTAGGTTCTTCAACTATGGACGATTGTATCGCCATAGATGATATGTTCATATGCACGTGAGGCTTACAACTGCGTTACCACGGGGCTGAATGTTGCTGGTGCATTAAACCGTCCTGTGACACACTGAGAATATTCCAAATAAAAACTATCCCAAACTTCTATTCCAAATACCGGTAGATCACTGGTCTTTCTAATATCGTCCACAACCATCCAAAAAACCAGAGCTCTTGATTCTGTGGACCTGTGGACAATGGACGCGCTTGCGAGCAGTAGTAAAGGCCATCGCAAGTCCAAGTCGGGTGCAAAGGTAAACAAACATAAACGTAAGGCTTTTGAAAAGCAAAAACGAGAGCAGCCGTCGCTTGCCGAACAGCGCAAGAATCCCAAAGCATTTGGAGTTGCCAAAGCTGGTCGCGCACGTAAGACCGTCCAGCGCAATTTAGACCGCGCACACCGTAAAGAATATGTACCACAGCAAAATCGTGCTGAGGACCTTCCACCACCTATTTCAGTGGTCGTCATGGGTCCACCAGGCAGTGGTAAGAGCACTGTCATTCGTTCGCTGGTTAAGCGTTATACACGCCATAACCTCGTGGACGTCAAAGGTCCAATAACTGTCGTGAGTGGCAAAGACCGCCGTATTACGTTTTTTGAATGTCCAAACGATTTAAACGCAATGATTGATTTGGCCAAGATTGCAGATTTGGTGCTTTTACTCATTGATGCAAGTTTTGGCTTTGAAATGGAGACGTTTGAGTTTCTTAACATCCTTCAGGTGGTTGGATTTCCGAAAGTAATGGGTATTCTCACACACTTGGATAGTTTCACGAAAAACAAGAGTCTTCGTAAGACCAAGAAACGACTGAAAGCACGCTTTTGGACTGAAATTTATCAGGGTGCCAAGTTATTTTACTTTTCTGGAGTTTCTGCCAACAAGTATCCGAAAGGAGAGATTCAGAACTTATCGTTGTATATCTCACGCATGAAGTTTCGACCTCTGACATGGAGAAATTCTCATCCTTACTTGCTTGCTGATCGCATGGAAGATGTGACGGCACCTGATGATATTCAGCAAAATGCTATGATAGACCGTCGAGTAACATTGTATGGCTATTTACGTGGAACACACTTGAAACCAGGTATGAAGGTGCATATTGCTGGAGCGGGTGACTTCTTCATGGACAGTTTGACAGCGATGCCGGATCCTTGCAGCGTCCCGTCAAGTAAGAGAGCAGATGGAAGCGTGAAGAAAAAACATTTAAGTCAGAAAGAGACGCTGTTGTATGCACCCATGTCGGACGTTGGGAATATCATGTACGATAAGGATGCCATGTACATTAATCTGAGTCAATTAAACTACACAAATCCAGACACAGGAGATGTAATACCCGACGAACAGGACGTAAAAGTTGGGGAGAACTCGGGCCGGAGTGGCACACGTATTGGACTGGGTGGCGAAGGTGTTAATATGGTACAAAGTATGCAGAAAATGGATGTCGGTCTAGATGACAAGCTCAGGGATGCGAGCATGTCGCTGTTTAAAAATACGGCTGCGATTCGTGCGGATGAAGTCGACAGCGACGACGAGGAGGATAGTGCAGAGGAGGACAGTGCGGACGACATAATTAGTGAAGACGACGGTGAAGACGAGGATCGAGAGCTAAACGTTGGCAAACCAGTGGAGGCTATTGTTCGTGATAGCACTGGCCGAATGCGTCGCCGCGCAGTGTTTACAGAAAGCGAAGAGACCATAGAGACCATGAAGACAGGAACCGACTCGGACTCGGAAAGTCTAGACGAGGACAGCGAAAAAGAGGAAGAAGTTAGTACTGAAGAGAAGTCGCAATTGCGTTGGAAAGATAACATGGTCTCTCGCGCTGCTGCGAACTTTCTTGAGCGTGAACGGGCCGATGTGAATCTGATGGAACTTGTGTATGGTGAAAGTCAAAAGCTTCACATGACGGAGCGTGACTTGGACAATGAAGAACAAGCCAAACAGGGTGAAAAAGATCATTCCAGCGAAGATGGTGACAGCTTTTTCACGTTAAAGCGCAAAGCAAATGCAAAAGGAGAGTCATCGTCAGCTTCAGAAACATATAACATGATCAACGCGATGGATTGTTCGCGTTTACACTTTGGTTCTGAAGAAATGAGTGACTGGACAATGCCCGATGTGCTTCAAAGCATTCGCGATCGTTTTGTTACTGGTTCTTGGAAGCGCGTGAACAAGATAGAGAACGGTAATGATGTTAGTAATGATGTGGATGCCGATCCAACGAATGATGACGAAATGGACGGTTCATTTCAAGATTTAGAGACTGGTGAGATCCATAAAGGTGTCGACGAGCAGAGCGAAATTAGTGATGAAGCAAGCGAGAATAAAGAGAACGACGAGAATGAAACAGATGAGCAGATTCGTGAGCGCTTTCGTGCCCAAAAATTAGTAAAGCGGATGGTCGAAGACGATGATATTGAAGACGGTGGCAAAAACAACAAGAAAATTGACGACGAAGAACTGACTGAAATTATGGTCGAAGCAAAAAGGCTTCGCGAAGAACAAGCTCGACGGAATGCAGAAGAATTTGGAGAAGAAGGGGAAGATATGCGTCTACAATTGGAAGGGTTTCGCAATGGACTGTATGTTCGTATCGAGTTTTCAGGTGTACCAGCAGAGTTTGTACGCTACTATGACCCCAAAAATCCTATCGTTGTTGGCGGTCTTCCAAATTTGGAAGACACGTTGGGTCTTGTACGAATGCGTTTCAAAAAACATCGCTGGCATAAGAAGATTCTGAAAACAAATGATCCGTTAGTTTTCTCCATTGGATGGCGACGCTTTCAGAGTCTTCCGTTGTATTCAATTGAAGATACGAATGAACGGCATAGATTCTTAAAGTACACCCCGGAACATATGCATTGTCACGCTACAATCTATGGCCCCATGTGTCCTCCGAACACTGGCGTTTTGGCTTTTCAAACTTTGTCAAACAATGCTGAAGGTTTTCGTGTTAGTGGTACTGGCGTTGTGCTCGAGTTGGATCACAAGTTTAATGTCGTGAAGAAACTCAAGCTGATCGGAACACCTAGCAAGATCCACAAGAACACGGCATTCATCAAGGGTATGTTTAATACTGAGCTCGAAGTTGCCAAATTTGAAGGAGCAAGTGTTCGAACCGTGAGTGGAGTCCGTGGTCGTATTAAAAAAGCTCTTCGGGGTGAAAAAGGTGATTTCCGTGCCACTTTTGAAGACAAGATTTTAAAGAGCGATCTTGTCTTTTGCCGCACATGGGTGCCTGTGGACCCAAAACAATTGTACAATCCAGTGACGTCTTTACTTACGAATATAAAGGGCAGTCAAAAGAGTACATTAGGGCTTATGAAGACAACATATGAGTTGCGCAAAGAGTTGAAACTAGCGGTGCCTGTGAATCCGGATTCACTTTACAAACCGATCGTACGAACAGAGCGTCAATTTGCAGCATTGAAAATACCGAAAAAGCTGCAAGCAAATCTGCCATTTGCTAGCAAACCTAAGGAAGACAAGAAAAAAGGCACTACGAAGGGTTACCTAGCGAGCCGTACGGTTGTTCTAGAACCAGAAGAGAAAAAGAAATATACGTTTATGCTTCGAGTGAACACAATGCGTCGAGATCGAGAGGCTACACGAAAGGAACGTCAAAGCAAACGCAATGCTGAGAACTTGAAACGTAAACAGCGCGAGGAGAAAGAATTTGAAGGTGTGCATAAAGCGGAAAAGAAAGCCAAGTACCGAGCAGAAGGAAAAGAAGCGGCGTACCGTGCATTGAAGTCGGCAACAAGATGAACAAAATAGTATAGAGTTGGGTAATAGAGACAGAAGTTTTGATACATTGCATTCGAATTGTGATGATTGTTCAAAATGTATATTTCTTGGTATTGATTGTAATTTAAAAATTTATATCATTGTAGTCAGCTATCAAAACTTCGACCTTGATGGGACTCGAACCCACAACCCCCTGATTAGAAGTCAGATGCGCTATCCATTG